GCCCTGTTCCCCGCCCCTCCACCACCCTGACCGCCGCCGACCGGTCTTGAGCTGGAACGGTGCAGGGCCGCAAGTCCGTTTCGTTCAGTCTAGAGTAACAATTTGCGGCCCATATCGCAATTTGACCGACACTACCGTGGCGCGAATTCGCGATCTGGCACCCGCGGGGGTCGGAAACGCCGCGCCGAACCGGCCCCACGCGGGCCATGCCTTTTCGCGCCTCGTGCCCGCACTTCGCCTGCCTCCCCGCGCTCCTCCCAAGCACAAACCACCCCCATGTCTTTCCCATCAGGGCGGCCCGTGGTCGTTCAGAGGGCGCCCACCCCGTCTCCCCTGCCCCGGCGGGGGGCATTTGGGCAGCAACGCCTCACCCCCGCCCCATCGCGTCGCAAAAAAACCCACCTCCTGTGCGCGCGGAGACCTCCGGAAACATCCCCCTGGCCGATGCAGGGTGGCGGAGGGAGGGCGCCGCTCGGGCGCTCGTGTCAAACGGGAGCGCCCCGCTCACAACAAGGCCCGCTGGCGACTGCCTTGGCGCGACTCGAGTTCGCATTGCGAACAGTCCCGCAGCACCCCCCTATCTTTTTCAGCACGGCGCGCGCCAGGGACACCGCCGCCGCGGGGGTCGCCTGCGTCTCCCAGCTGTGTTGGGCGACTGCTCAATTGTGCGGTGGGCGCGGGTTGGTTGCTGCTCGCCGCCAGGCTCCAACCGCGCCCTTCCCCAACCACCCCACTGCCGCCAAAAACGGTCGCGGGACGCCCCTCAGTGGCGCGAGGGCCTCCCTTGTGCCCCCCAGACGCCACATTCCCTTTGCCTTTAAAGGCGCAAGCGCGAGTTGGAGCTCAGGGATAGCCAAGGAAAAAAAAAAAGAGAGAAAGAGAAACAGAGCACACGCAGGCACAGCACGAGTGAGCCGCCCAAACGGCGCGGTGCACACGCAGGGGGGCCTCCACAACAGCAGGTGGGCGCCCCACGCGCCGCACCATGTCGGGGAGAGCCAGCGATAGCAACAACGCGGTGGGTGCGAAGGGCCGCTGCCCACGCGCTCCGCCTGCCACCGCCTCAAACAGGTGCAAACAACGCCACCTCGCGCACGCACGCCGCAGGAAAAGATGGGCGCACCGTTGCCCTGCGCAAACACGCGCGCGCACACAAACACAAGCAGCGAGGATAACTTCAATGTCGCTGGGCGGCCCGTTTGAAGCGCAGGGCAAAGGCAACTGGGATGGTGCTTCTCTTCTCGCATTGCGTTCGCCTCTCCGATCCCCATGCCTTTGCCCACCTGCGATGAAAGGGGCGGCCTCGTTGCGGTGGCGTTTCGCGCCGCCGCCTGCTTAGACAAGAAGAAAAGGCAGAGCCCCAACCGCCTGCGCACCCGCAAGGGAGAGGGGCGCCGCCGTACTTTATTAC